TTGCAACAGGGGAAATCTGAGTGTCGGGCCATTCGCTGGGTAGGTCTGTCAAGAAAGCCGGTTCATGTAACCATGATTTTATTTTCTCCAAGTTCAGCACACCCCTGGAGTAATAGTCGGCTGGATTGTCATAGAATTTTATGTGCCGCCATTTACCCACCTCCGTTTTTTCGTGAATGACAGCCACCCGTTTGGCAACAAATGTGCTGAAGCGCGTTCGTACATTGTTAATATAGTGAAGAACTATAGAGAGACCAGTCCAGTAGGTTTCAGTCCATTCAATCGAGTTAAAAAATCTTTTGAGCACCTTCGCTACCTTCACGGTTAATACTGCTGCGGCCAGTTCTAGCCTGGGTATTGAGACTGCTTTTAGAGGGGCGATCCTGGCCTTTGCGAACAGAATACTCTTATGCCCTCTTCCTCCTGGCCGAGACGAGCAACCGTAGGCCACCAGTCCATATCCCACCTCCGACGTGTCCGCCAAAACGTGTAACTCACTTTGCGTATTCCTGGTTTGAAACAAGGGAGTCGTATATTGCTCAGCTTGGAAAGGCTCAGCAACCAGCTTGGCTAGGTCTTGTGATCCGCTTCGTATAGGGTCTCATCCCAAGTAACATTTTTTCTACACAAGTCCTGCAGCAGGAACTTTCCCGGCAGTAGCCACGGTGCGACGAACCGCATTGGATCGTAAAGGCTGGCCAACGAAGACAGAATCGCTCTGCGAGTCGCCCTCTTTTCGGGCAGCTAGAGTTGGAACAAAAATTCATTTTTGTTCGAATCCCATTGCACACCAAGTGCTCTGTCTGTTGGTAACGGATTCCTCTGCAAGTCACGGAGACTCAGTGACTGCTCATCAACTGGGATGCAATCGATTGCATGATGACTGTCGGACATCCACGTGGTCCACTTGAACCCTCTCATGAGCAGTAACTTGGATAGATCCCAAATGTGTTGAACTGCTATCAAAGGATCCTAGGAAGTCGTCTACATAAAAATTATGTTCAACACAGGAGCCCACTGGGATTTCGAAACGCTCAGCAAATTTGTTCACGGTGGTTTTTAACGCGGTTTGCACAAAAGGGAGAGGATATCGCGCCAAACGGGTGCATCGTTGTCCGATATTCCTGGGCAGGTCCATCTAGGTCTCCATCCGGCCACCACCACAACCGTAGGGCGTCCCTTTGCCCTTCGGGGACTTCGGCCTGCATGAACATCTCCTTACTATCAGCCTATACCGTAACTGTCCCTAGACGAAATCAGCACAGCACCTCAAACAGCGGGGTCGTCAAATCTGGGCCTTGTAGTAGACGGTCATTTAGGGCAATCTCGGCACACTTGGCAGCGCAATTGAAAACAACCCGGATCTTCTGAGGTTTCTTGTCGTTCAGGACGGGATGGTGCGGAAGGTACCACAATGGATGCTCCTCTTTGACGTATCCCATTGCGCGTTCGATATATCTCAAATCTAGATTGCATTTCATGGCGTTACAGTACGCTTCCTTCAACTTTGTGTTCCTCTTTAATGGACCCTTCGGAAGTTGAGCCTAAGGAGGGCAACTTCTCGATTATCAGGCAGTCGATTGGATCCCGTTCTCCAGGGTAAGGGCATTACAAAATGGGTTCT